AATAATAATAATAATAATAATAATAATAATAATAATAAACCAGTACAATCTTAGAAGGGTTCTACCCCTTCGGGGTTAGAACCCTAATAATAATAATAATAATAAACCGCTACAATCTTAGAAGGGTTCTACCCCTTCGGGGTTAGAACCCTAATAAATATAAATATATAAATAATAGCTATCTTTTCAAGTCTTAATGGACAAATAATATGAAATAATGTTCTAAATAATACCTCTTCTGTATTAGAAAATCCAACTTTGAACAAATGTTCCTCTCTAGGGCCAGTGTTTGGTTTGTCTGTTATGGGCTACTGTAGAAACATGGCAGTGCAACATGGCAATCTCTGAGGACGAGGACCTGCTATCTGTGAGATATTAAAGGCTCATTCTAAAAAATGCAAAAACATGACAGTTCTTACTTTCAGGTGAGTGTTCACAAAAATCATACTTATTATATTATATTATATTTTTTCCACAGTGGATCTTTGACTAGTTAAAAAAAAATAGTGAATCTATGAGCATGCAAATTTTGTTTATTCTTAAGTTTAGCCACTACAGGGTGTCTCTTACTTCACTAAAAAGTGCATCTGCACTGGAGGTTTCCACATTGCAAACTGGACCATGATTGGCTTTCAAACTGTTTGTGATGCCACAAAATTATACTTTTGTATGGGGTTTTTTTTTCAAGCCTGCTTTCATATATACAGCTTATTTGCGTTTTAGTTTCCAGTTCATTACAAAGAAAATTTTCCATCAGAGTTAATGGGAAAATAAATTAAGAAAAATATAAAAGATCTAAACAACCAATAAATTCACAGTATAATAATGATAGAGGAAAAAAAGGAAAAAATAATAATAGCTAAACAGTTGAAGAGATGTAGGTTAACTAATAACATAAAATAACTAATAAATTCTAATAGCTCATAACTGTACACATTTTTATACATTACATAACAGTATAGTTATGGTCTCCCATATTCTATAAGCCACCTTTTCTCAAACACATCTTCCCTATTCTTTATTTTGTGAGTCACTTTCTACATGAAATTAACTTCTTCAGCCATACTATTCTGTTTTATTAAATCTTGGGGATAGTTTTTTCCATCTTTGGAGATATGTTTCAGTGATGTGATTCTCAAGATTCTGAATAGGTATTTTTTATCTTGACTAAGAGTAGCTGCAAAATTATGTTTGTAGGTACACAATTTAAGACCATATGAATGTCAAAGGGTAAAACTTCCGACTAAATACCTAAAAGTATTAATTGTTAGAGTCGAGGGGGCTTTCAACTTGCACGCCTTTTGAGCCTCTAAGGCCTCCACACATTTCTAAACAGGTCTAAACTGTCCACACCTACGACGCAAAACGCACCATAGACACCTGATGGCATGTGATGCTGCATCCGCACCACATCCGCAGTCCCTAACAAGTCTGGTTTTGCTGGGAGGGTCTGTGTTGATAGCTAAATTAGCCCTCCGTGTCAGCCGGTAAAACTGGCTAAACTATGAATCTATAGCTACTTCCACTGGTAACACAAATATCACTTCAACACGCAACAATTGGTCTCTGATTCCGCCAGTGACAGTGTTAACGCGTGGCACAGAAGGAGTGGCTCTGAGCCGCCTCAGCTCTCCGGACCCAGAGGAACCCACTGGAACACGCCTGTCTAGTGTCACACACACAGCTGTCACAAGACAGTTGAAAAACCGAACAAAAGTTGACTTGAAGGCGCAGGAAATATTTATCCCACGGGAAACAACAAAGGTAAGAAATGTCTCTTCTGTCTGTCTGTTTGTGTGTGTGTGTGTGTGTGTGTGTGAGTGCGCGCGCGCGCGCGCGCGCTATGAAAAGAAATGCTGTGACTGTTTGACATATCGCGTTATAATTCTGGTTTCATCGTTTTTTTTCGTCATATTCTTGACAAATTGGCTATTATCCGCTATTTTTGAAGAATGGGAAGGGTTTCAAGTGGCTCAAGGGGTACAGTTTGGTGCATAAATGTAAGGTCTAGGATATACAGGGTGTCAGCCAGTAAGTTTGAGAACTAGTCATTCTATCAGCCAAAATATATTAAATAGTAGTCCCTACCAGAGATGGGCAAAAATACATCAAAATGTATTTTGATACAAAATACCCCTCAAATACATGTGTCAAAATAAAATACAAGTATTTTGTTTTTTTAAATACAGAAATACAGTTTTTTTCTTTTTTCTTTTTAGCAGCGACCCGCAGCTCTATAGGTCATTCTATCGGTAGGTTGGTCCACAAAGCTTTTCGTGAATAACTCAAAATTTGCATACTGCAACTAGAGACCATGAGTAACTATTTCAGAAAGAATGCCCACGATTCGTCCATAGGTGGCCCTATACTAACCAATTCAAATCTTTTTGTGAATAACTCAAAAAGAAGAAAGAAGAATCATGATTCATCCATTGATAGCGTGATAGTAGCAAATTTGGTCACAGCTACTGCAAATGTGTGCTTGTTTTCTCACAATTTGGTGTAGGCTACCCTAAAATATTATTTATTGATTCAGATTTAGATTCAGACAACTTTATTGATCCCACATGAGGCAATTCATTTGTAGCATACTCATCCCAAGCATCGACCACAACAACATACAATTTTCTATGTTATGCACAGTCCAGTAAAACAGACCACTAGGTCACTGAATGGCCCAAGTTTAAAAAAACAAATAGATAAAAATAAAAAAAAAATAAAAAAATCACACATCCCCGATAACCTGTTTCATCCTCAGTTATCAAACCAACAATCACTGTATCTTCAGCAAATTTAACATTGAAAACTTGAGATGAGTTCGCCCTGCATTCATTCGTATATAGAGTAAATAAGACTGGAGAAATGACACTCCATTGAGGAGCCCCAGTGTTGGTAGTAATAGGGCAGGACACTGCATTGTTTACTCGTACACATTGTGATCGATCAGTGAGGAAAGACTCCACCCATCTGATGATCCTGCTGTTCACCTCTAACTCTGACAGTCTTTCCATTAGAATATGCGGCCTTATGGTATTAAATGCGGATGAAAAGTCCATAAACATAGCACGGGCATATCGTTTTGGTTGGTCAAGATGGCAGTAGATTATATATAACACATACAAAAGAGCATCTTCTGTCCCTCTACCCCTTGTGTATGCAAATTGCAGTGGGTCAAGTTTGCTTTGCACCTCACTGAGGTAGATGTGTACATTGTGGTCAGGGATGGACACAGTCAGCAACAATACTCAGGGAGACTGTGGTGTTTAAATGATGTTTAGTTGGTACTTAGGGGCCCAAAGTGTGCCAAGAAAATATCCCCCACACCATAATACCACAACCAGCCTGAACCGTTGATACAAGGCAGGATGGATCCATGCTTTTATGTTCCATCCATCCATCCATCCATCCACTTTCATCCACACCCTCTCCCCAGCAACGCTTTCCAGCTCCTCCTGGGGGACCCCAAGGCGTTCCCAGGCCATGTGACATACGTAATCCCTCCAGAATACTCTAGCTCTGCCCTGGGGTCTCCTACCAGTGGGATGCGCCCAGGACACCTCCAACAGGAGGCACCCAGGAGGCATCCTGATCAGATGCCTACACCACCTCAAATGACCCCTTTTGACAGGAAGGATCAGCGGCTGTACTCCGAGCTCCAGATGTCCGAGCTTTTTACCCTATTTCTAAGGCTGAGCCCAGCCACCCGAAATCCGTTATTTCGTCTGCTTTGGCCAAGTGGCTTTCATGTTGTTTACACCAAATTCTGACCCTACCATCTGAATGTTGCAGCAGAAATTGAGACTCGTCAGACCAGGCAACATTTTCCAATCTTCTATTGTCCAGTTTTGGTGAGCCTGTGTGAATCACAGCCTCAGTTTCCTGTTCTTAGCTGACAGGAGTGGCGTCCAGTGTGGTCCTCTGCATACCTTGGTTGTAATGAGGTATTATTTGGGTTACTGTTGCCTTTCTATCATCTTGAACCAGTCTGGCCATTCTCCTCTGACCTCTGGCATCAACAAGGCATTTTCACCCAGAGGACTGCTGCTCACTGGATATTTTCTCTTTTTCAGACCATCCTCTGTAAACCCTAGAGATGGTTGTGTGTGAAAATCCCAGTAGATCAGCAGTTTCTGAAACACTCAGACAAGCCCGTCTGGCACCAACAACCATGTTCAAAGTCACTTAAATCACCTTTCTTCCCCAATCTGATGCTCAGTTTGAACTTCAGCAGGTCATCTTGACCATGTCTACATGCCTAGATGCACTGAGTTGCTGCCACATGATTGGCTGATTAGCTGTTTGCGTTAATGAGCAGTTGAACAGGGGTACCTAATAAAGTGGCTAGCGAGTGTATAGACAAACACAAAAGTACCACAAGACCCAGTAGCATTGTGCGGCAGTGTCTGTATCTGCAGAGACACTGCCCTCTTCCTGTTTTTAATTATTTTCTTAGTATTTTGGGATGTTTCTGCGTGTCAAGCTTTGGATAATGGTGTGTAGCCTCAGGCCATTAGCAGCACGAGGTTGGGACTCTATAAAAAAGTAGTGACCAGGTTACATTGTTCTCTCGATCTCTCTCCTCTGCCCTGTGGATGCGAGCTGCAGGTCTGTGTGTCACGATTAATTGAGAAAAAGTAAAAGGCACTGACTCATGGCTGTGCTTCAACTGTGTGAAAACCTGATGCCAGCAGACATGTCGGAAATGCACCTCAACGTCCGCTGGCTGGTCGGGAGCAGTTAAGTGGGCCATGAATGGTTGTTGCTCTCCCCTGTACCCTGCACAGCAAAACAAAACTCGACACAGCTGAAATTTGGCTCAACTCAAAAATGAGTCGTGCAGCTCAAAAAAGGTTTCAACTTATACACTGTATGCTCAGCTTGACAGATGTAGCAACTCAACAATCAGATAACACATCAACACAGTAGGAGCCATTAATTATGTCTTTGTATTTATGTCTGCTTATACTTGCCCAGCCTAAATCAAGTTAAATCAATAGGGCATGGCAACTGAGTTTAGTGTGGCAGAGGAAACGTATGTGAGGCAAAGGTGCATGAGTGAAGGGAGTTCACATGATTTTTATCACTCGCACAGCACACCAGAGAGCCAAGCCAGTTTTTATATCACCACGCAAGTGTTATTTGCAGTTTATAATAATTCAGTTCTAACATGAATTCTTAATTAAACAGGAACCTCACCCAACAGTAAATACTGTCTTAGCATCCATTTCAATTTAATTTAAAACAGGTTTTCACCCCAGCTGAGTGGCTCATGCAAATCAGGATAGTCACTATAATGTATGTGTTTCCTGTGTGAAGTTACAAAAAAAAAACAAAACTTCAAAGTAATGATGAAAAAGTGAGGTTTAAGCTCTGTTGAGGCTTAGCTGTCATTTAGACTTTCATCACAACCCAGTAAAAAAACGGAGGTTGCAGCAAATTGCTCAACTGGCAAAGTACTGCGATTTAAAGAAGCCTTGCCACATGTGCACACCTGTAAGGGGAAGCACCATACTTGCTCTGTTGTCTCATATGAGAAACAGAAAGATATGTAAATCATAATTCAATTCAATTTCAATTTTATTTATAAAGCCCAATATCACAAATCACAATTTGCCTCACAGGGCTTTACAGCATACGACATCCCTTTGTCCTTAAGACCCTCACAGCGGATAAGGAAAAACTCCCCAAAAAAAACCCCTTTAACGGGGAAAAAAAAACGGTAGAAACCTCAGGAAGAGCAACTGAGCAATAGATGTCGTACAGAACAGATCAGCATAATAAATTAACAGTAATCCATATGACACAATGAGAGAGAGAGAGAGAGAGAGAGAGAGAGAGATGCAGGTAATGACAGTAGCTTACAACAACATTAATGAAAGTAATAATATTATAGTTATAGTTCTGGCTACTGTGGTACAATATGTTGAAAGTATGTATTAATATCTGGCAGTATACATGTGTGACAATAGTCATATGTGTATAATAACAGTAGAAGTATGACTAATGACTAATGATGGCAGCAGCAGCAGGAGGCATCTGGCAGGACCACGGCAGCAGCACAACCACACACGTCACGCTGTCCAGGCACCGCTGCGATATGAGTTAATCTGAGAGACAGTGGAGCACAAAGGCTCCGGAGAAGAAGCCGAGTTAGTGACATCCAGAATGGCCGAGTTAGCAAGATGCAGTAATAGGATGAGAGTGAGAGAGAGAGAGAGAGAGAGAGAGAGAGAGAGAGAGAGGGAGAGAGAGGGAGCCCGGTGTATTATAGGGGGTCCTCCGGCAGACTAGGCCTAAGTCAGCCTAACTAGGGGCTGGTACAGGGCAAGCCTGAGCCAGCCCTAACTATAAGCTTTATCAAAGAGGAAAGTCTTAAGTCTAGTCTTAAATGTGGAGACGGTGTCTGCCTCCCGGACCGTAACAGGAAGATGATTCCACAGGAGAGGAGCCTGATAGCTGAAGGCTCTGGCTCCTGATCTACTTTTGGAGACTTTAGGGACCACGAGTAACCCTGCGTTCTCAGAGCGCAGTGTTCTGGTGGGATAATATGGCACTATGAGCTCTCTAAGATATGACGGAGCTTGACCATTTAGAGCTTTATAAGTTAACAGTAGGATTTTAAATTCAATTCTGGATTTTACAGGGAGCCAGTGCAGAGAAGCTAAAACAGGAGAAATATGATCTCGTTTCTTAGTTCCTGTTAGTACACGTGCTGCTGCATTCTGAATTAGCTGGAGAGTTTTTAAGGACTTACTAGAGCTACCTGATAATAGAGAGTTACAGTAATCCAGCCTTGAGGTAACAAAAGCGTGGACCAATTTTTCTGCATCTTTTCGGGTCAGGATAGGCCTAATTTTCGCAATATTACGCAGATGAAAAAATGCAGTCCGTGAGGTTTGCTTTAAATGAGAATTAAAAGACAAATCTTGATCAAATATTACTCCGAGGTTTCTTACGGTAGTGCTAGAGGCCAGAGCAATGCCATCTAGAGAAACTATGTCATCAGATAAAGAGTCTCTGAGTTGTTTGGGGCCAAGAACAATAACTTCAGTTTTGTCTGAATTTAACATCAGGAAATTGGTGCTCATCCAATTTTTTATGTCTTTAAGGCAGTTATGGAGTTTAGTTAATTGATTACTTTCTTCTGGCTTCATCGATAAATACAACTGTGTATCATCCGCATAACAATGGAAATTTATAGAGTGATTTCTAATGATGTTACCTAAAGGAAGCATATATAGAGTAAATAGGATTGGTCCGAGCACAGAACCTTGCGGAACTCCAAAACAAACTTTGGTACGTAAGGATGATTCATTACGAACGTCAACAAATTGAAAACGATCAGATAAATAAGATTTAAACCAGCTTAGTGCTGAACCTTTTAGGCCAATTAAGTGATCCAGTCTCTGCAGTAGAATTTGATGGTCAATTGTGTCAAACGCCGCACTAAGATCTAATAAAACAAGAACAGAGACGAGTCCTTTGTCTGAAGCAATCAGAAGGTCATTTGTAATTTTAACTAGAGCTGTCTCAGTGCTATGATGCACTCTAAATCCTGACTGAAATTCCTCAAATAAATTATTATCCTGGAGAAAATCACACAGCTGGTCTGCGACTACTTTCTCAAGGATCTTTGACATAAAGGGAAGATTAGATATTGGTCTATAGTTGGCTAACACCTCTGGATCCAGGGTGGGCTTTTTTAGGAGAGGTTTAATTACAGCTACCTTAAAAGACTGTGGTACATAGCCTGTTAATAGGGATATATTGATCATATCTAATATATGAGTGTTAACTAAAGGAAAGACCTCCTTAAGTAGCCTAGTTGGGATGGGGTCTAAGAGACACGTTGATGATTTAGATGAAGAAATCACTGCGGTCAATTCTTGAAGAGAAATTGGGGAGAAGCAATCTAAATATATATTAGATTCTACAGCTGTGTTTGAGGTTAGATAGGTAGGCCTACCATCTGAGGGCAGGAGGTCATGAATTTTGCCTCTAATAGTTAGAATTTTGTCATTAAAAAAGCTCATAAAATCATTACTGCTAAGGGCTAAAGGAATACAAGGCTCAATAGAGCTTTGACTCTCAGTCAGCCTGGCTACAGTGCTGAAAAGAAACCTGGGGTTGTTCTTGTTTTCTTCTATTAATGCTGAGTAATAGTTTGCTCTGGCATTGCGGAGGCCCCTCTTATAAGTTTTGAGACTGTCTGTCCAGATTAAACGAGATTCTTCCAGTTTGGTTAATCGCCAATTCCTTTCAAATTTTCGCGATATTTGTTTTAACCTACGGGTTTGAGAGTTATACCAAGGAGCAAACTTTCTTTGCTTTGTTAACTTCTTTTTAAGAGGAGCTACAGAGTCGAGCGTTGTTCGCAGCGAGCCTACGGCGCTATCAACAAAATGATCAATTTGGGAGAGGTTAAAGTCGGCACGGGAAACCTCTGTTACTGAAGGTATTGGTATTGAATTTAACGACGAAGTAATCTTTTCCTTAAATTTTGTGACAGCACTATCTGATAAACATCTAGTATAGTAACTGTTGCTGAGTGGCGTGTAATCGAGTAAAAAGAAATCAAAAGTAATCAGATAATGATCTGATAGCAAGGGATTCTGTGGAAAGACTTTTAGGTTATCAATTTCAATTCCATACGTCAGAACTAGATCGAGGGTATGGTTAAAACAGTGAGTGGGTTCATGTACACCCTGACTGAAGCCAATGGAGTCTATTAATGAGATAAACGCGGTAGCCAGGGAGTCATTATCAACGTCGACATGAATGTTAAAATCGCCTACAATAATAACTTTATCTGATTTAAGAACTAAACTGGATAAAAACTCTGAGAATTCAGATACAAATTCAGAATACGGGCCAGGAGCACGGTACACTATAACAAATAAAAGTGGCTGCGAGGTTTTCCAGGTCGGATGTAAAACACTAAGAACGAGGCTTTCAAATGAATTATAATCTAGTTTAGGTTTAGGGCTGATTAACAGACTAGAGTTAAAAATGGCTGCAACTCCCCCTCCTCGGCCGCTGCCTCGAGGAATGTGGGTATTATTATGACTGGGAGGAGTGGACTCATTTAGACTAACATATTCATCTTGACACAGCCAGGTTTCAGTGAGACTGAGTAAATCAATATGATTATCTGATATTAATTCGTTTACTAACACTGCTTTAGACGATAGAGACCTGATATTTAACAGTCCGCATTTAATTCTCCTGTTTTGTCTTTCTGTCACAGAAGAGGTTTTAATTTTTATGAGGTTGTTATGCACAACTCCTCTTTGTTTAATTTTAGATTTAAATAATTTAGGTGGTCGGGGGACAGACACCGTTTGTATAAAACTATGAAAACTATGGCTGGGTAACTGAACTAGAAGCTCAGAGAGGCGTTTAGGACTGCAACTCTCTGTCCTGGTCTCAACTCTGGGTTGTCAGGGATTTAAATTACTAATAAAATTTGCCAGGTTCCTAGAAATGAGAGCAGCTCCATCCAAAGTGGGGTGAATGCCGTCTCTCCTAATAAGACCAGGTTTTCCCCAGAAAGTTTGCCAATTATTAACAAAACCCACATCGTTTGCTGGACACCACCTGGACAGCCAGCGGTTAAATGATGACATGCGGCTAAACATGTCATCACTGGTCAGATTTGGGAGGGGTCCAGAGAAAACTACGGAGTCCGACATCGTTTTTGCATATTCACACACCGAGGCAATATTAATTTTAGTGACCTCCGATTGGCGTAACCGGGTGTCATTGCCGCCGACGTGAATAACAATCTTACTGAATCTACGTTTAGCTTTAGCCAGCAGTTTTAAATTTGATTCAATGTCGCCCGCTCTGGCCCCAGGGATACATTTGACTATGGCCGCTGGTGTTGCTAACTTCACGTTCCTCAGAATAGAGCTGCCAATAACCAGAGTTTTATCCTCAGCGGGTGTGTCGCTGAGTGGGGAAAAGCGGTTGGAAACGTGAACAGGCTGGTGGTGAACCATAACAACTATATTTGAATGAATTGCAACACAGTAAATGATCACAGAAAGCAGGAAGGGACTGAGCAGAGGTGGAGCCGGCTGTCATTTGGTCAGCCCCACTCCGTACCAGATGGTGGCTGCATGTGCAGTTTAGAGCAGCACCATTTTTTGCCAACACTATTTATCAAGCAAAAGCCAGAGACTGTGTCATATAAAGTTGCTGTGAGCTGTAAATTCACCACTTCTGAGCAGAAGACAGAGGATTCTGAGCAACAAACTCCTCTTCTTCCAGGAAGCTGCCTCTGTCTCACTCTGACTCAGCCCTTGGTTTGGGTCCGTTGCTGCCTGTACAGGAGCAGCATGAAAGCAAGGAGCGCTCACCTGCAGCTGGGACCAAATCGTCCCCAGATGTACACCGTACAGGCGCACACTGTCAGACACAAAAAAAGACTCCTCAACTTGAAGAATTTCAGCTGACTGAAGGGTCTCTGACTGCTGATCCGAACCTGCTGACCTATCAATTTTTTTGTTTTAAAAAAATCACCGTTGGACAGTTAATCTCTACTTCCCCTGTCTGTGTTTACTGAACAATCTGACCTGTCAAAATGACGCACGAGGGAGTAGTAATACACAAGGGGTAACCAAAATGGACAACAACTGCAACTAAACCCAATTTAAAACTAACTAAACCTAAATCCCCCACATGACATGGCAGTCTAATGAGTTGGCTCCAGGATTTTAGAGTCCTCAGCTATGTCTTTTGCTCCACCAGGAAGGAACCCCCCACCTTGGTTTTACTTAACCATGTGTACTATTTTGACATCTCCTTTACTCTCCATTCCAGATGCGTGTCACCAAGAAGAAGTGTGTGATTTTGGTCACTGGGCTTCTGTCTTTTGCCCTGTTTTGTGCCTGGAGCCCTGGGACCAGCTCAGGCGTTGACATACGGCCAGGACAGAGGGGTCACATAGAAAAACTTCTCGAAGAGAAAATTCGAGACACCATCAGTGACTATCACGACATTGCCTACCATTTGAAGGATGATGTGGCACGGTGTGTTATTCTTCAACATGTCTAACTTCTGCTCTGAATTCTCATTTTTATCTATACCACCTCACTCAGTGCCATTTTTTTTACAGTCATCTGGCTCAAAATACATGTGTGTGTCTGGCTGATGAGGAGACCTTTCACCTGCCGTTAGCCAATCTACTATTTCCACATGTGTGGGCCCACAACGTTGACCTTGCGTTCTTAGAGTCCCATCCTGACCCAGAGGGCGTAAAGCATCACAGAGCTCAGGAGTACAGAAGTTTTCAGAGGAGGTAAAGTTCAAATGATGATACAATTGACTTTTAGTGAAAATCCCCTTGTTTACTCATGTAACTGTCTGCCTCACCACATAAAACTTTTGCCTTCAATGCAATGATTAACTACTTTACAGGATATGGACTTTCTCATGGATAACATAAATTTGGCAAGACCCTTTGAGTCATGCTGTGCAATATCAGTTGACAGTTAACCTACCACACAGCTATCATTTCAATACACTGACATAACAGTCTATTTAAAGGCCTCACTCACTTTTTAGTTGTACACTGACATGTGCTTTGCTGTTGTTACTGTCCCTTATCCTAGTCTCCACCTGATTTGAATCTTTTGCCTGCACACTTGCTGGTCTATATTTCTAAGTTAATCCACACTGAGAGGTTATTTGCAATGCTCTTTGCATAATAGGTATCCAGTGGATGCTGTGCATGGACTTAAGTAAACTGGTTGCTCTCAACTTTTAATCAGAGTTACAAAATTAAGTTAGACTAGTCCATACCCATTGGTAGCTTTGTCACCTTCTACCTATGCCACTCCTCAATGCCTATGTGCAGTTTCACATAGATTGACCACGTCAGTGAGTAGAAAAATGTGGGACAGACAGAATGACTGACTGACAGAATGACACACTGACAGTTTCTGTGATTATGTACAGCATACCATACCATGACTTAGTCATACCAAACATTAGAAACAACACCAACATTGGTCCACAGGGGGAGCCACAGCGATCGGTCGCATTTTAGCCATTTTTAAGCATTTTTCTGTTGTTATAGCGCCACCCAGTTGCCAATTAGAGTTAAATTTTTCCAGTCACCTTGAGGCGTCCTGTTCTACATATCTACCAAGTTTAGTAAATATCGATATGGCGGTTAGGCCTAGATAAGAAAGTAGCTCTCTAGCTTTTCCATTTTGTTTGATTGGGTCAATAATGGAGTGGTCCCCTCAGATTATGTGTGGTCATATGCCTACAAAGTTGTGTGGTGATCGGTGAAACCCTTGAGATGTTATACACCTTTATGTGATGAGCCATGCCCTCCGCAATATTCATTGCCTTATAGAAGCTCAGTGTTAGTAAGTTTTCCAACTTTTGCCAAGAAGGAACTTTAGATATTGGTCCCTAGATTATGTTCACCAAGTTTCATGCAGATCGATCAAACTTCCTAGGAAGAGATCGATTTGAAGTGTTTTTAAAAAAATTCAAAATGGCGGAAAATCTGTATAGCCGGAAGTTATGGGTTCTTGAAGCAAATTTGTTCCTCATGAGGAGAGGCATCTCTGTGCAAAGTTTCATGTCTCTATGACATACGGGGCATGAGATATGCCCATTCAAAGTTTGCAATTTCAATCAGGTGCTATAGCGCCCCCCTTTGGCCAATTGATGTAATATTGCTTCATTTGCATCCTCCCATGACCCTCTACCACTGTGCCAAATTTCACATGGATTGACCAAGTCAGTGAGGAGAAACACGTGGAACAGAGACACAGACAGACACGCCCACAGACAGAGTTTTCGTCATTATATAATACAATGAGTAGTCAAATGACATCTACTCAGCAAAATTTACTAAACAAAGCTTGTTTGTTGCCCAAGACCCCAACTCACAAGTGCCACGATGTAAACAAGCGTATGACTGGAAAACTGACAGTTAGTTAGACAAACACCATCACTTCCTTCAAAACCTAAAGGTATTCAGGTTTCAGTTTCTTTATTATCATATGCACAACAATTAAACCACAGAAATTGGCATGTGTACGTAGGTTATTTAAACACAGGTAAACCTGCTAAGAAATAGGCTATAGACTCCTGTACCATTGCCAGTAGACCAGAGCTGTGCACAAGTGTCTGAAGCAAACAAGCATGCCTTGGTGCCTTGGTGTGTGACATTAGACATCACGGTCAGTAAACAGTAGAAAGCAGCATTGATGTATGTGAAAACCTTATAGTGCTTACCAGTGCTGAATTTGTACGTACTGGAACGCGTACCAGGATCTTTTCAGAAAAGGCCCTGGTGCGTTCCGGAACTAATTTGCATGGGTCTAGAACTTTTCGCATCTAAAAACTACATACAGTATTGGCTGACGACACTAGTGTTGCAGGGTATACTGGTAATGGTAGACCGCGGTACTAAAACTCCACAGTAGCCTACATATGATAGTTCAAAGTCCAATCGCAAGACGGTGAGTGTCCATGCGCCGTTATTGACCAGCGCGCGCCGGCCACCTGGCACTCAATATGCTGCTGTAGTGGTTTGTTTTCCAGGCATGTGAGTATCTTTGAGCAGTGAAAGTTATTATTTATTTATTTTTACTTGTCAGCAATGATTTGTTTTCCACAGAGCTCTACGTGCAAGCATTTTACTCGCATTTGCGACTAAAAATATTTTTGTGCGCGCAAATTAAATCATTCAGCTTGCTGTGTGAGTACAGATTTCAGCAGCAGAAAGGAAAATCAAATCCTGCCGGTTGTGGGTTGAACGGGGGTCACAGACAGGATACGGTGGTCAAATACGGCGGAGGCTCATAGTGCTCCGTGCCGCAACATAACAGCTTACCGGTGAGTCCGACTCCAGGTCCAGTAATTTCCTCTTGTTGGTGTCATGACTGCCCAGTAGTACCTGGACAACTGAGCCATGGCGGCACACAGGTATGTGATGTGTCAGAGGAGAAACGAGCCGTTCACATTTCTCTCTGTGGCAGGTAATGGTCCACAAACCTCACCGCACTTTAGGGACTGTTCTTTACTTGTCAGGGGAGGAGGGTGGCTGGTTGATTGTTATTTTATTTATTTATTTTATTTTGATCCCCCCTATGTTAATCACTTATTGATGCTGTTTTTGAAGTATGAATAAGTCAATAAGTAATTTATTCTATTGAAATATCATTGATGTATTATAGAAAAGTGATTTATCTTTTTATAAATGACAAAAGGCACATCTGCCTCATTTTTGCCGTGGTATCCTGATACTACTCAGAACCATGATACTTTCACTGGTAGCTATCGTACCGTGGGTCCCAATTTTGGTACGGTGACAACACTAGATGTCACAACCATTCCATTCGGAATCGCGCAGTGAGGCGGCTCGGGTGCCGCTTAAAAAAGTGTTCCTCCACTTTTGGAAGTGGGGGAACACTGCTGTCTCAGAGGCCCAAAGTGTTCCCCTACTTCTAATTTTACAAATTAAGCACTGGTGCTTACTACTTTTTATATATCTCTTTCATATTTAGTCTCTCTTTCAAACATCAAACTAAGACAGACAGTATTTTGTTGTGGCATGTTACTGCATCACAGGGCTAAAATTAGCAAGTTCACCCATGTGATATGTTTCTATCAATGCCGTGGGTGTGATTTTTAGTTGTAACCTCTCTGATTAAATAAGCCAGATGTTAGCAGTTTTTTGTGCAGTGGAAAAAGGGGCTTTACAGAGAAGCTGTCATCTAATCATGGACCTGAGACGTCTACCAACAATGCTGATAAAATATGTATGAAAAGGACATTACTAGAGTTAAAAAAAAATGAGGGAGAGAGAGAGAATGTATGTGCCTCTCCAACAGAGTCCGCCATGTTGTATTACAGTGGCCCAGAATGGACATATCAAGCACTGGCTCTAGATGGAACCATTCTCGTTCTCGAGCCGGCCACTGTAGTTCTCCTACACACTTGGCACACCAGAGAAGCTTCAGCTCTGCCACCTCACCACTACATGCTACTAAATCTTACACTGTAGACCTTTAAAATATTGGGATAAAATGTAACATAAATAAAATATAAAAGAAAGTAACAGAAATTTGCTATAGACAGTAATTGCAAATGAATAACCTAACTGTAAAAAGGAATACAGATCAGTGACAGTGTCAAGTGATGAGTTCAGGGACTCATGAGTTCAGTCGTTTTTGGGCCTGCGCAATGAGAGAACTAACAAAAGCAGGAAATCTTCACATTTCAGAGCTTATTCTCATACAGGTCATAGAAAATCTCACAGTACAAATTAAGGGTAACAAGATTTCATCAATTCAACATATGAGCTACTTGATACTGATTTTAATGCAGTACCTCTAGATCACTAATAAAGTGAGAGATCCTGACATAAATTAGGTACTCAAAGTAAATAAATAGGTGTTTATTTCACAGTGACGAAGCAATGCAGGTACTTTTCTCTCCATGTTCTGTATGTAAAGGTCGTACAATCCTGCAGATGTGCTTATCGTTGCTGAGGCCAACAGTCCTCTTCAGTATCCTACCCAGGGTGTGGAGGTGCGACCCCTCAAAACGATCATCATTCCTGGTAACAGCATATCTACCATGACACTACACATGATATCAGAGCTGAAACAAAACATCTTTACCTGCTTTGCATTTAAGTGTGTTGGTCACCATCATCGCATCTTGATGCCCTCAGTAACAACTGCTTTCTTTCCATAGGTTTGGGTCTTAAAGAAAAAACAGGATCAAACCATATGGTAATTTCTTCAGTTTGTCGTTTTGATTGTGGTTAACGTACCCACTTTTGTATAAATGTTAAATGTTGTGTTTATTTTTTCCCCAAAACCATGTGATTATTGCAACAGGTGCATTTGACAGCAATCCTGGGGACTTTTGATGTTGCTGCCACAGTGGACAAGGTCTCTGTTAAAGGAGCAGGGGAGAAGCACATGACGCTGTCGAGTCCCAGTCTCTCCGCTTTAAACGGGCAGCTGCAGTTTGTCACTTATACAAACACTGTTTTCCATCCAAAGACAGCAGACACAGGTAAAGTCATTACATGGATACTATCTCAATACGAAAAGTAAAATGTCATGTTTACCTATTAAGCCTTGGGTTCAGTGGTAATACACAACAAATTGGACCAATAAGCAATTTATTGAAGTGGAAACAGATCATTTTTCAACTTTATCTCAATAGAATTTCAAGAGGTATTATTGTTGGCATCACTTTCTGTTTTCATCAGAGCCCGGAAAACCACAGTTCCCTTGATTGTTCCAGCATCCGCCATTTCTGGTACAGGGGATGGGATTGTAACCGCAAAGAACTTACAGTAATACTACTCTATGGTTACTTGGAATAGCAACCAAGAGCTACCAGGGAAAACAAAGGTGCTATCGTCTTTCTGTTTTGGTTGCTCAGTGGTCACACTTTCTTTAAGCAGTGAATCCGCCCGTCCTAAGCTTCTTCATTTTCAGATCCTGCGGCAGACAGCATTAAAAGCAAAGCTTACAGGAAACCAATGTAAATGGTAATGTTATCATTCTTCTATAGCCACGTCATAGTGCAATAAACATTTATTTTTTTATAATAAGCTAAAACAGAAGAACATTGTCTGCTTCCACTTCAACAGACATTATGGTAATGGGTTAAAGGGGACATATTATGCTTGTGTTCATTTTCTGTCATTTATATCGTTGCAACATTGGATGTTGAAATGTTTGTATAAGTAATCCCTATCAGCAAACATCTCAAACCACTCTGAACACTTTGCTTACAATAGCGTTTGTTTTTTACTTTGGCTACAAGATGACATCAGATTGTGGTTCATGTATGTGGCTGTCTGCTGTAAGAATCTTGCTGCAAATGTTTGTAGAAGCTAACTTGTAAACTTCCTGCTGGAACATGTCTAAATTTTTCAAAAAGTTCCTCTTTACTTTGTTACAGTTATTACCCCGTTGCAGTGCTGGTGTTAGATGCAGAAAACCCAAAAACACTGACCAATCAGAGCAGACTGGGCTTTTTTGGTAGGGTGGCTTAAAGAGACAGGTGGTAAGACAGAGTGTTTCAGACAGAGGGTGAATACAAGTGTTCCAGTACAGATAGTGTGAGGAAAATAAAGTGTTAAAGTATGTAAACATATTCTACTAGAAACCCAAAATACAACCAGAATATGAGCGTAGGTCCCCTTTAAGGAAGCATTAAGCAATACAGGGATATTTTAATTTGTGAAATATTCTACATGCAGATACAGTCTATTATGTCTATTAGTTGGTTAGTATATATCAATCAATCAATTTTATTTATAAAGCCCAATATCACAAATCACAATTTGCCTGACAGGGCTTTACAGCATACGACATCCCTCTGTCCTCTCCCCCCAAAAAAACCCTTTAACGGGGAAAAAAAACAGTAGAAACCTCAGGAAGAGCAACTGAGGAGGAATCCCTCTTCCAGGACGGACAGACAAGCAATAGATGTCGTACAGAACAGATCAGCATAATAAATTAACAGTAAACCGTATGACACAATGAGACAGAGAGAGAGAGAGAGAGAGACAGAGAGACAGAGACAGAGAGAGATGCAGGACAGACGGTAATGACAGTAGCTTACAACAACATTAATGAAAGTAATAATATTATAATTAATAATAATATATTAATATCTGATAGTATACATGTGTGACAATAATCATATGTGTATAATAACAGTAGAAGTATGACTAATGACTAATGATAGCAGCAGCAGCAGGAGGCATTTGGCAGGACCACAGCAGCAGCACAACCACACACATCACGCTATCCAGGCACCACTGCGATATGAGTTAACCTGAGAGACAGTGGAGCACAAAGGCTCTGGAGAAGAAGCCGAGTTAGTGACATCCAGAATGGCCGAGTTAGCAAGATGCAGTAATAGGATGAGAGAGTGAGAGAGAGAGAGAGAGAGAGAGAGAGAGAGAGAGAGGGAGAGAGAGGGAGCCCGGTGTATTATAGGGGGTCCTCCGGCAGACTAGGCCTAAGTCAGCCTAACTAGGGGCTGGTACAGGGCAAGCCTGAGCCAGCCCTAACTATAAGCTTTATCAAAGAGGAAAGTCTTAAGTCTAGTCTTAAATGTGGAGACGGTGTCTGCCTCCCGGACCGTAACAGGAAGATGATTCCACAGGAGAGGAGCCTGATAGCTGAAGGCTCTGGCTCCTGATCTGCTTTTGGAGACTTTAGGGACCACGAGTAACCCTGCGTTCTCAGAGCGCAGTGTTCTGGTGGGATAATATGGCACTATGAGCTCTCTAAGATATGACGGAGCTTGACCATTTAGAGCTTTATAAGTTAACAATAGGATTTTAAATTCAATTCTGGATTTTACAGGGAGCCAGTGCAGAGAGGCTAAAACAGGAGAAATATGATCTCGTTTCTTAGTTCCTGTTAGTACACGTGCTGCTGCATTCTGAATTAGCTGGAAACATAACTACCATAACTAAAGTAGTGACATCAACTGCGGTGCATAGGTAATTACAGCTTGTCATGAAATGGTAACACTTTACTTGAGGGTATCTACGTAAGAGTGACATGACATTATCATAACTATGACATGACACGGTCATGAACATTATATACATGTCATAAATGTTTATGACTGCTGTCATTAAGTGTCATTCGGTTTTTTTAATGACAAGTTGACATTGTTTGGGTTGTCTTGATTATGACAACTTGACATTAATCAAAGTGACATTACATACACTGACAATAACAAATTTAATGTCAACTTGTCATGACAAAGACAACTTCTGGTAATGTCACTGTTACGACCCGGCTCAAGTGGCCATAACAAAAGGGAGACACACCATGATGAACGGTTAACAACAGATATTTTATTAGAAGCAAATCAAACCAAATTAGACCAAATTAACAAATAACTAATAAGAATAACATATGGGGTGTGAATGTCAGTGATATCAGTGCTATGTGTGAGTATTGAATGATGGGTGTGGGAGAGTGTGTATGTGTAAGTGTTGGAGAGTGCATCAAAGCAAAGAAACTAAAACATTACCAAACCAGACCAGAGTGGTTGCCTGTAGGGAGAAGCAGAAGGTGAGTGAATGAGTGAGCACAGCTTTTATCACTTTCAGTGCACCAGGCCCAGGTGCACTGAGTTGCAATCAAGTCAGCCTGGGAGAGACAGGCCTGACAAACTCTCACAGCAGACACACCCCTAGATGACACAGGGATCATCACAGTCACTTTAATTAATGTCAAGTTGTCATAATCAAGACAACCCACACAATGTCAACTTGTCATTACAAAAAACAAATGACACTTAATGACAGCAGTCATAAACGTTTATGACATGTACTTAATGTTTATGACAAGCTCATGACAGTTTCATGTCATAGTTATGACAGTGTCATGTCACCCTTATGTAGACACCTTCAAGTAAAGTGTTACCAAAATATGTACTGCTTCATCTGTTTGTCACAATTTTGTTCTGCAGTTCAGTTTGCAACTGAAGGTCACCAGTCATATTTCAGCATTAAAGTTGGACATGGAATCATACCTAACCTTTACAACTCAGGATATCAAAGAGGTTTGTGAGCAGTTATATCATTATTAATCTTATTTAATGGAAAATGTTTGAATGCCACATTGAATGTTTTTTTGATCATGTGTTTTTTTTGTTTGTTTCTACTTAGAGTACAATATTAGTGCTCTTGTTACCATCGCCACCAAAACTTTTCTACGCTACGACAAACTCAAAGACCTCATTGACAGTATACGACAACACTATCCCACTGTCACCATAGTGATAGCAGATGATAATGAACATCCTCAGCCAGTGACTGGGCCTCACATTGAGCATTACATCATGCCTTTTGGAAAGGTAAAGAATTGTTATGCATTGTGATGACTGACCAACATAGTTTATATATGTTTATATATGTTCATCCCTCTTGATTTACTGTACACAGGGATGGTTTGCAGGAAGAAACCTGGCAGTGTCTCAAGTGACCACCAAGTATGTGCTCTGGGTGGATGATGATTTCATTTTCACTGCAAACACCAAGTTGGAGAGGATGGTGGACATCTTAGAGAAGACCACTCTGGACCTGGTGAGTTGCATGCCCAGAGACAGTTTAATGTGTGTGGTAGATGTCTACTGCTTTAATAGTGACTGCATATTATTAGATCTATAAATACTAACTTAAAAGTGCACAATTATTCAGTTCCCTCCCCTCTACTCCCTCCCACCTGACCATACAAATGAGAGTGAAGGGTGTACTCGGATATGTGCACATAACTGCATTGATGAGCTTTTACCACACGCTGATAGCATCACAAATTCAGAATGCCACTGCACAGCTCTTCTGCAACTCTTCTCACAGAGCTCACGCATGCCTAGACCTGCATGTGCTTCACTTGCTGCCGGTAAAATACAGAATTCATTTTGAGATTCTTTTAAGCACTTACAAAGTTCTCCATAAACAAGCTACCAGATACATTCATGAACCTCCTATTCTAAGGACAGGTCTTTAAGGTCTGCTGCAGCTTTTTGTCCCTTGGTAAAAAACTAAGTAGCACCTTCCAGAGCCAAAAAAAAATGAAGGCAACATAGAAGTGCAAAAAACTGCAGATCCTTGAAGAGCCACTTGCAGCTGGCTCCAGAAGCCAGTCAGTCCCTAAAGACACCCATGTTAAAATGCCCAACTTCACAGCAGAAATATATGTTTCCTGTCTTGTACAAATACAGTTTTGGTCTTTGGAGCCATTCTGAACATTCATGATAACTGTACAGGGAGTGGATTGTTATATAATTCACCTGTTTACATTTTATAAAGGCTGGAAGTTGTGCATTTTAAATAATAATGATAATACATGTTATTTAAAAAGGTGCCTTTCAGTCACCCGAGGTCACCTTACAGAGCATAAAATAACATACAGAGCAAGATAAAGGTGTGGCAGCTGGAGATGGGCTGTCTGCCCAGCATTGCAACAGTCTATGAATCAGCTCCATCTGTCGCCTATACACAGCTCCACCCTGTCATCCAAGTATGGTCACTTCTGCCTCCAAAATACCAAGATGGCAACAGTGAAAATGCTAAACTCTGAAAAGTATGGGTGGTGTCATGGTAGCTACATCTATTATTTTGTACAGTCTGTGCTCAAAACTGAAAACCAAAAGTGACTGAGCTTGCTGGCTGTTCTTTGGACAATTTTAAACATTTTAAAACTTTGTGACAATGCAATGTTCTTCTGAGGAACCTTGGGTCCTGACACATACACCACCCACCCAAACATCAGTACAGACCAATATGCCCCCTCATAGCAAGCACTGATGGCAGTGTGTGCCCCCCCCCCCCAGGAAGGACAATTTACCATGTCACACCATAAAAATTGCTCAGGAATGGCCTGGAATATGTGACTAAGAGGTAAAGGCATCAACCTGGCCTCCAAATTCTCCAGATCCCAATCCAATCGAACACCCATTGGGCATGCTGGTACTTTACCTCTCAGCCCACAGGACTCAAAGGATCCGTCAACAACGCCTTGGTGCAAAACAACACAGGACACCCCCAGAGGTCCTGTCTCAATGCCTTGACAGGTCAGAAGCTCTACTGTAGATTGGACTTGGCCCTGAACCGTCAAGGCCTGGACAAAGGACCTTGGGGTACCAGTTTGTCCCACAGATGCTCGATCAGATTGGGATCTGGGGAATTTGAAAGCTAGATCGATGCTTTGAGCTCTTTGTCATGTTACTTGGATCATTCCTGAGCAGTTTCTGTAGTTGGGCATGGTGCTTCACCTTGCTGGTGGATGCCAGGACCATAGGTTTCCCTGCAGAACATTGCATTGTAATGAAATGATCGATGCTATTAACTTCACCTGTCAGTGGTTTTCATGTTCTGGCTGATTGGTGTATATAGATAAACTTTACCTTACATTAAAAGAGAGAACTGCTTTTTAACTGCCTGAGGTTTACAACCTATTAATATCTGCACACTCTTGAGAACCTCAGTGGTGAAGCTCTGCCAGGCCTTATGCCACAGCTGTTGCCTTCAGTTGCTCATGCTCTAGAGGACTAGGGTTAGGTTGTAGGGCTGGGCGATATGGAGAAAATTAAATATCATAATGCTTTTGACCAAATTATTGTGATGATATTGTAGGGTTAACTATTGGTGCTTTCACAAAATATCCACACAAGGAAATTTTTGATAAATAATCATCAGTAATATGGATATAATGACTTAAGTGGGTAAAGTGCAATAATAGAACAGCGAAAACAGTCTGGTAAGTTCAGAAAATCATATCACTTTACTGTAATGCAGCCTTTAAAACCAGAAAAAGACAGCACTTACAATATTATGATATCCAAAATGCAGGGTGAAATCTAGTCTGGTATCAGCATAATATTGATATATTGCCCAGCCCCTGTCAGGTGCCAAGAATCGTTTGGGTTATTTTAGTCCTCTAAATGCCTTGTCTGTATGTTTAGGATCAATGTCCTGCCATCAGTGTCCTGGGTGAGAACATGCTCCAACACACATAATATGTTTATACAGTAAAGTTAGCACATACATCTTACAGTCATTGTTTCATTTCAAATCCATGTGCTGGAGTATAGAGCCAAAAAGAGAAATATGAGCGAGTCCTGCTACGTATGATCTGAGCAGAAAGTTCAAATGTTGTACATGCCATCACCTGCATTGCCACAGTCTGTGTTGTGAGGATCAACAACTTTCTTGTTTCTGTGTTTGGTAAGAAGGTGTCCCCACGTAAGGGTCAAGTTTCCTTTAGAAATGAAACTAAACTCTGATGTTGACTCATAGTGGTGCCTTGTTTCAGAGGGTGGCTCAGTGGCCTAACATACATCAATCAGTCAGTTCATTTTGTCAAATGAATACATGTCAATGAACTGATCCCAGGTTTTAAATTTGGGCATGTTTTCGACATGTCACTGCTTATTGGCCTTACTTGTCACAGCAACTGTTCTTATTTGAATTAAAAAAAGTGAATACAGAGAGTGAGCCATGCCACCTGTGCAAACAGATTGTTCCAACCTAAATATTTCAGGCATGGAGTGATGTGTCGAGCCCTTTCATTTTCTTGGCTACAGGCTGCTTTTCTTTTCTTTTCTCACATTTTATTTTACAGTGTTATAGTTACTCATTGTGTGACATGACTTTGTGAGTGTTTATCTACACGCTTTTCTCCCATGTCTTTCTTGTTGTCTGAATGTTTTCAGGTGGGTGGTGCGGTGAGAGAGATTACAGGTTACACTGCCACATACCGTCACACCATTTCTGTGGAGGAAGGAGGAGAGGACGGTGACTGTTTGCATATCAGAAATGGTTACCACCATGTTATCGAGGGATTTCCCAACTGTGTGGTAGCTGATGCCTGCATCAACTTCTTCATGGGGAGGACAGACAAGGTGCAGCAGGTGGGCTTTAATCCCCGCCTGGCACGGCGCGGTCATCTGGGTGAGTCTGACTGCAACATCTGCTGTCAAATGTTAACATAGCAGCTATGTTAGCCCTTTTCTCTATACAGTACGGCTGTCATAACACTGTTTTGTTGGTTCAGACTGGAAAGATATAAAAGAAACAACTCGAGGGTAAATCCAGAACAAAATCTTCTTTCGGCATTGCAGAGTTTTTCATCGACGCTCTGGGCTCCCTCCACGTTGGCTCCTGTAGTGACATCATCGTAAGCCATGCATCAAAGATCAAACTACCCTGGAGTAAAACAGTCTCACAAAAGGCCTATGACAAATTCCGCTATTCATCATCCACTGCCCAAAATGACATCTCTAATGAAGTCTTCTACTTCAAGAACAGGTTCAAGTGCATAACAAGTCACTGAAACTTGGCCCCTCACATGTCTGTTTGCTGCCTTAAAGTCCAGGTAAAGAAAAAATACATATGTTTTATGAGTTTGTCACACCACAGAAAATGTGTCACTAACCTCCCAGACACATTTGATTGATTAAAAAAATTCAAAGTATGTCAAATTAGGTTTCAAAATCATGAAAAAAGAAGCAGAAGAATCAGAGCCACTGCAGTTACGACAGACTCTCGTTCAGAAACTAACAGCAGCTAGCATTAGCACTAAGCACACACCTCCAGCAGTGAGCAGTAACTGCTAGCAGGCAGGGCTGCTGATTCAGGCTGAAAGACTGAAAGATACATTAGTGATGGCTATTTTTTTTTTATGTATATAAGATTGTGGCATTTAACAAAGATGTTTATTCATGTAAAACTGTACTTGACTGAAAGAGCCAAGAAGGCTTGTTGAATGTAGCAAACTCACCGCTCACACACAGGGGATGAATAAAACAACACTGATGCTATGTGCTGTAACATTTTTTAAATATAGTTTTTAAATATTGGGGAGGGGTCATGTTAAAGATGGCAGCACATCATCGAGCCATGATTTCAGGCTCAAGCTCAACGCAGCACTCTATAGTTCAAATTCGATCACATTTTCAACAACTATTTTCTAACATGTATAATTTGTCTAGAGAGAAACCTCAGATTTTACTTTACCTGGACATTTGAGAATTTTGAGAAATTTTTGTTTTCAGGTTAAGACTGCAGAAATTGATGTTGTTATATTTTACAGTTTGTTAGCACTTGCTGTTAAACAGACTGTGGACAGATTTTGTTCTATGAACAGTTTACAATTTTTTAGTATAGAAAAAAGTATCCTATCCTCCTTTCTCTAGCAGACATGAAATATTGCCCTTCACAAAATGCACTGAAAATATCATGTTTCTTTTTGTTTTTAATCGCACTGAGTTGACTTCCATAAGTACTGTGACTTCAAAGGATGAGATGGGTTTCCTGGAACTGTCTATTTGTAATTCACCACAGAGACAGCGGTGGTGGAACATATCTGTTGTTGCATGAATTGCTAAAAAATTTAAGTAGTGCTCCAGTAATTGTTCATGTTTAGACTTGATCTATTTTCCCAGTATGTTCAAGGTTGCGTTTGCACTACAGCCACTTAAAGCAGCAGTTCTATTTTAACTTGTCTGCTCATTTCGCAACTTATACCGCTTGTTGTTAAGGTGTTGTAACTGAGTCAAATACTGACTGGGAAACATACATATTGACAACAAATCATATTGATTTTTCATCTTAACACTACTGTGAATGTGTTTCAGATTTCCTTTAGAAGATCATAATTTCTATCAGCTCTCTCATCCCCCCTGTTGGGAATCACTTATGTAGAGTTAATTTAGAGCTCTTGAATGCATCTTATCCAGGCAAAAATATTCAAGTGCAAGAAAAAAAATACTTTACTGCAGGGCACATATGCCTCCAAAAAAAAAAACAAAACACTGCAGTAAATGCATCTTATCTGAAACATAACATCACAACCCAATTATGCTTCATAATAAAAAAAGTCACGTCACAGTTACATCTGTAGTCCTTGTTGCAAAATGTATATTATGTATTTATTTATTATTTATATTTATGATACATATATTCATAAGAAATTGGAGGGTTATATGACACATGAAATGAATTGCCTTGTTTTTGTAATGATTTTATTTTTTATCTGCATCTTCCTATTCCTGAATTGTAAAACATTGCTGCATTGGTTCCTTTAAAGAAAGAGGTTCGCAGACAGACTAGATTTAAAACTACTTGGTGATGCAGCCAGTGTAACTTTAAATTAGCCTCTACATTTGCGGCGTTGTGATATAAAACATGTTCTAACAGTTCAAAACGCCCCTTAATGCTCCAGGCTCAATATATTTTGTCTGCATGGAAACACAGCCAATGGCATTCTCAGGGTTTATTACTCAGGTAACATTTATGCTTGTAACATGCTTTGAATGTGTTGTGAAAGATACTGTGTTTGTGCACTTGTCTCTAAAGTGCAATATGATAAAATGGTGTGAGCATGCCTTGCTGTGCAAGTAAACTGATAATAAAGGTTGTAAATTGAGTCTTTAATTACGCTGTTGTACAATGGAGCTATTGAACTGTTGATAAGCTCGCACTTAGTTCTTTAAATGTAACATTTGAGAAAATAGTGAAGCCAATCAGGCCAGTGTAATTGACTTCTGTATTGAAATCATTTTTGCCAAATAGATGAACATATGTGCAGTAAGTCAAAGTAATATGTCCACTGCACCTTCTAGTTGTTTTGCAATTATAGTTCATGTATCATTTAAAAATTCTGCACACTCTCCATCTCTGTGACATTTATCTTACATAATATTTTACTCATTTCAGTCTTTGTGTACCTTTGTGGTAGCTGTAATGACTTCACCCAGTCCTTCCTCATGTCAGTGCCATATCTCCTCTTATGACTGACTTTTCCTGCACACTACAGTGTAATTAAAAAAACAAGACATATGAAAAGGTTTTGGATTGCAAATTATTACAGCTAAACAATAAAGGTGTCCATCTCCATGGTATAACTCAAGTACAACTGTGTTATGTTTCTTAGACAGCTGTAGTCACTTTGTTGTTAAGCAAAGCGGATATAAACTCAGTGTTCTCCCATGAAAGTTTTGAGAAATTGGATTTGGTAGCAAAAAAAAGGTTCAGTTATTAAGGACCTGAATGCAGTGATTGATTATGCGTAGGGTTGTGTTTTAAGCCAATCCTCGAACTTGCCCTTCATTTTCATCTCAACTACACTCACTTGTAAACTTTCGTGACTGTGTCTTGCACAGTTGTGATGCTATCATGTTGACAAAGTCTGTCCACCGACAGACAGACATATAAACTTGGTAAAAAAACTGCTTTTGTGGTAATTCCTGCTGTAATACACGTCAACAGAACCACGTTTTTTCATGATAACACACACACACACACACACATACACAGTGTTACAAGGTGAAACAAGTATTTTGACCGTGCCTGCATTCCATTGAGGTGTCTCCACACCAGAGATAAATGTTGTTAACCTGTTACTATTATACTTTTGTTTATGTTTGGTTGTCTGGGAAAATGTCGTGGTGACTGTGATGGTCTCTGAATCTGCAGGTAGAGATGTACAAAGCTATATAACTTGATGATCAGGTTTGGCCAGGATTATTTACACTAGCGCTGACTCTGTCTCTCTCACCATGACCTTTGGGTTTGACTTCTGCACTCAGCATTCACATTATTGTTCTTGCAAGTGTTATCATAATATTTGTTGATGTGAATGCTGATTCAGCATCCAGGGTCCGCCCTGGGCTGACAGTATTAGAGGCTTTGGATGAGGGTGAGGGTAAGGGGGGCAGGCCTGGGTCCAGGTGGCTGGTTGGAGGCTGGTCAAGGACACAGTATCAGGACCGTTCAAAATTTGTGGTCCAACATACAGAAAAGCGGGATTTTCATTGAGTTGATTACAGCGGTGTTAAATGGCAGTGGTTAAACTGCAGGGTACACGGTTTGACTTTTCGCAAACAATGTTTTTGCATCACATATTGAAACACTGGCTTTCAAACAGCCCATCGTACATGCTGAGTGTATGTGTGTTTCAGGAGATCACTAAAGAGCCTCCTTTATCCTTTTATAATGTGAGTAGAATCTGTCCAGAAGCCTGAATTACTCATTGATGTACTTCTCTAGTGACTTAAGATTTGAACATTAGGCCAAATATGATGTACTTATTATAACTGTGGGAGCTTCAAACATCCATTATCTGGAAAAAACATTTCCATTAGACAGCTTATAAAGTGAAATTTTGTGGTTTATATGTTGACCCATCCTTGCCGAAATGACTCTACAGGGCAAACTAATTGAGCTCTTAACATCCATATTTCTGATCAATTAACAGCCATCAGAACAGAAAATCTGGACTCTGCAAACATGCCCCACTATCCTTTCATTACTGGCATTAAAACTGTAAGTCTCATTAGAGGAGGTGATGGTTCAATCATCTTCACCCAAAGATATTTTAGAATGATAGTGTCAATACAAAGGCAGTAATGATAATTTAACTTTCAGATATTTATTGTTGTGGGCGGCACGGTGGTGTGGTGGTTAGCACTGTCGCCTCACAGCAAGAGGGTTCCCGGTGCGATCCCGGGTGTGGGAGCCCCTCTGTGCAGAGTTTGCATGTTCTCCCCGTGTCAGCGTGGGTTCTCTCCGGGCACTCTGGCTTCCTCCCACAGTCCAAAGACATGCAGATTGGGGACTAGGTTAAGTGATAGCTCTAAATTGTCCGTAGGTGTGATGTGGGTGTGAATGGTTGTCTATGTGTCAGCCCTGCGGTAGTCTGGCGACCTGGCCAGGGTGTACCCTGCCTCTCGTCCAATGTCAGCTGGGATAGGCTCCAGCCCCCCCCCGCGACCCTCAAGAGGATGAAGCGGTTAGAAGATGAATGGATGGATATTTATTGTTGTTTGAATTTTGATTTTGTTTTGTATCCCTGATTATTAAATGATATTCAGTTTTAATGGCCAAAGTGAATTGCCAAACATATTTTAATGAAATGAAAAAGCTCTACAGGCATTGTTAACTTTGATGGTATGCACCCTTTTTTTTTTCTTTTTTTTTCTTTTTTAAGGAATACCTTTGGTAGTAATTATTGCTGATAACATTTCTTTACTTTGCTCAAGTAGGATTTTGAATTCCTTGTACAATGGGGTTTTGATACTTTTACTTAAGTGACACTGTACTTAAGTACAGGTATTAAATGTCTCTCTGATGGTGTGCTCTGTGCATGAATTTCATTCAAACACGTGAAGCAGGAGGACACTGGGATCCAGATGAAATTTGGCCAATCAAGGTGAGATCACCTGAGCTGTTAAGAGCCTCACCCTTCATCTGTCAACGCTCCTGTGCATGTGCTTGCCCTGTAATCCAAACAAACCTTGTGTTTTAAATAGATTTCATTGTTAAGGCAGCAAACGCACCCTGAGTTATTGTTTTTTTTAAATCGAAGTTGCTGTATTTGCAATAGCAAAAATGACAACTACAATATATGGGTCTGCCAACAACGTATTGTTTATTTTTGTAAAGGGTCCTCACAGTCCAGAGGAAGAGACAGAGGAAAGTTATGAATGTTTATTAATATTACAAATATAAATGTAACGCACACCAAAAATTCCAATGAGGTGCTGATCACTGGCAGTAGACTTGATTGTAGAAAACAAGTGTCGCATACTCTGGCTCCATATGCATTCCTTTTATTTTAATGATGTTTGTCCTGTGGGCCTCCTTGGTTAATAAAAGGACTTATTTCATGTTCTACGAAATCTGTTATGTACTTGATTACTTGCCCATGTGTTAAATTGCATGATGGAAAGACCAGTAGAGCATTAAAAACTCGTATCACTGAACACTGAAGTACTATTAGATGTAAAAACATGAATTCTCCAGTAGCAGCTCATGTTGTTGAATTTAATCATCCTATTTCCTCTTCAAGATATGTAATTGAGAAGGTAACCCTCTCCCCAAGAGCAGGTCATTTGGATGTGTAACAGGGGAGAACACTATTGGATCCACCGTCTGAGAACCCTGTCAGCCCATGGACTGAATATAGATTATGATTTGAAATGTTTCCTGTGATGTCTAATTATTGGATATGTATTGAACGTTGTTCATGATGATCACTTTTAATTGCTTTAATAATATTGCTGTGAGAGACCCTGAATTTAATAAAAGCCTGTTATGGCATTTTGACCCACACTGACTGTTGACTTTGTATTGACCTGTCACTATATGAAAGTGAACTGGGGTGTTAACAGGGATAAATAAAGCAATTAAACCTTCTTCTTCTTCTTCTTTTGGTTTCATGTCGGGTTGCAACCATCGCTTATTAGGTGCATACCGCCACCTACTGTACCAGAGTATGTAGTATGAACTGAACTACTGTACATCTTTGGTTGCCTAACTAATAATCCTTCATTTTTAATTAAAAAAAAAACCAAAAACCCTCAACTAACCTTAAATTCTATAATATAATCTTGTCTCCTTCAGATATTCTACTATAGCTTTCTGTGTGTCCTGTACCCCATTTCCTGTTGTTCCCAAAATACCCTCAAGACTCCACTCTCTACCTGCCTTACCTATCTTTTGAGTTAGTCTAGTCCTTTCTTCCCTATACTTTCGATAGTGCATCAATATATGTTCCACATCTTCTGTTATTTTACATTCCAAACACTCATCTGAAGTACTTTTTAATATCAAAAACATTGTTTTATTTAGACCTGTCTGGTCAAATCTTAATCTTGTTAGGACAATCTCCTCCCTTCTATTGCCTCTATACACTCCCCGTGTAGGAATGGTTTTTTGAGCACTATAATATTTCCTTCCGCTTTTATCTCTGTCCCATCTGTCTTGCCATTACTTCATTATTTCTTGTTTTGAGTATTGTTTTAGCTTCTCCTTTACCAAGGTGTATATCTACAATGTCTCTCATTCCAATTGCTTTTTTGGCTATTTTATCTGCTCCTTCATTACATTTTATTCCAACATGGGCAGGCACCCAACAAAGTTGCACTTCCACCCCAATCCTATATAATCTGAACAAACTTTGCTGAATTTCCAGCATTAAATCTTCCCTGTTAGATGTGGTAGTTTGTATACTGAGAAGGACTGCCATTGAATCAACACAGAATACTACTCTGTCAGGTCTTATTTCCTCCACCCACTGTAGGCCTATGATGACTGCCATCATTTCTGCTGACATCTGAACAGGTATCCTATTTCCAATATTAATATTCATTGATGGTATATATATTCCTATGCCTTCTCTATCCTTTTCATCTTTGGACCCATCTGTATATATATCTAAATAACTATAATACTTTTGCCTTATATAATGACTTGCTAGATGTCCTATCCCACTCTCTTCCCATTCTTTCTTTAACTCCAATATGTAAGCATACGTTTATCTCTTCTTAGATCTAATGGTACTTCTCCTAATTCTACCTACAGTACAGGCCAAAAGTTTGGACACACCTTCTCATTCAATGCGTTTTCTTTATTTTCATGACTATTTACATTGTAGATTCTCACTGAAGGCATCAAAACTATGAATGAACACATGTGGAGTTATGTACTTAACAAAAAAAGGTGAAATAACTGAAAACATGTTTTATATTCTAGTTTCTTCAAAATAGCCTCCCTTTGCTCTGATTACTGCTTTGCACACTCTTGGCATTCTCTCCATGAGCTTCAAGAGGTAGTCACCTGAAATGGTTTTCCAACAGTCTTGAAGGAGTTCCCAGAGGTGTTTAGCACTTGTTGGCCCCTTTGCCTTCACTCTGTGGTCCAGCTCACCCCAAACCATCTCGATTGGGTTCAGGTCCGGTGACTGTGGAGGCCAGGTCATCTGCCGCAGCACTCCATCTCTCTCCTTCTTGGTCAAATAGCCCTTACACATCCTGGAGGTGTGTTTGGGGTCATTGTCCTGTTGAAAAATAAATGATCTTCCAACTAAACGCAAACCGGATGGGATGGCATGTCGCTGCAG